AACTCTTCGTATACCTAGTTCTTCAGCTGCTTATTATTAATTTCAGCACTTTCATCCAAACAAACACGTAACTGCTTATTTTTTAAATCAGCTTCAGCACTTAAAAGTGCTTTTCAGCACCTAATGCTTATCAGCTACTCTAAATCAGCTAAGCCAAACGGGCTCTAAGTTGTTACGCATTTTAAAGAAATTTCTCTTTCAAGTTTTATAATTTTCAAACCTTATAGAATTTCCTAATCAGGGATTATGCAAAATTAATGTCCCAATAATTTAGTCTTGCAAAAAAATAATAAAATAGTAACGGACAATAAAGTGGTTAATTGGAACGTTATTTTTTCTTCATTATGACTGCTAATAATTACTAGTAAAAACTTGGCTATACACGTTATATTTTGGCCAATTAACGTACATACTATTTTTTTTCCCTGAGTAATAATAACAATTTGCTTCCTCGTTTGATTATTTGTAGAATGAGTTACTCTAACTTTTATATACTGATAATATAAATATCTTGTTTTATCAGCTAACTTAAAAATATATGATCGTCCATAAATAAGTGAGAATTATTACCTAAAAAATAAGAAAAGTAACACGTTACAATAAGCTAAAATACATTTAAATAGTGTAAATTTTTTATATTGTTAAGAAAATTGTTATTTTCGTATTTGGAATGACATTTTCGCCAACATACATACTATTTTTTTTCCGAGTAATTATAACAATTTGCTTCCTTGTTTGCTTATTTTTAGAATGAGTTACTCCAACTTGTATACACTAACAATATAACAACAACAATAACAAGAAGCCCAACGTAATCCTACAAGTGGAGTCTGGGAAGGGTAATGTCTATGCAGACCTTAACCCTACCTTGAGAAGAAAGAGAAACTGTTTCCAGTAGACCCTCGGCTTAAGAAAGATAAAAAAAAGTAGTATCAACAAACAGTAACAATAGTAAAATTGTTATAAATAGAATTTTATTTATGGTGAATGTCTATATTTAGAGAGATTCTAGGGTTTATTACTTGGTGGCTAAGTCACCCTCTCCCTATAAATAGATGGTTCTATTCCATTGTAATTCATCCCAAATCATTAAGAATTCTCTCTCTCTACTTTTCTCTGCAATACTCTTCTTCTTCTTTTATTGTTTTATAACACGTTATCAGCACGAGGCTCTAACAAATTGACTAGAAGTTTTGGAATTAAGCATAATGATTGTCAATTATTCCATGAACTTCCTTTATGATTAAATTCTGGATTTCAGGTAAGTATTTTACTTTATTTTTCTCTTTTAAATTCTTGAAATTCTATAATTTGATTTTATATACAAGCAAAGACAACAAAGTTTGATTATAACTCTAATGGAGTTTTTAAGAAATTATAACCACCTGAAGTGGTAAAAATTTCTATGTCTTGTCATGATCAAATTCATGTATGATTATGGACACAAAAAGTGGAAATCCGTCCCATTGAATTTGCTCCATTCTCATTCCTCTAAGAGAATGTGATAGCAGTATGTGATAAGTTTGAAAGAAGATAAAATTATCACTATGAATGTATCAATGGATGTGGACGTGGCAATAGACGAAATTATAATCGTCATCATTGTGATAATGAGAATAATAAGGATTCTCAAAATAATTCCCCACTTTGTGAAAATATTTGTCATCGATTTGACATGAGATTTTATAAAGCACATTTAGATGATTATGGTCAATTCATGATGTGAATGTGACAACATCTGATTTATGAATACATATTCATTCTTCAAAGAATATGAACGTGCTAGTGGTAGTGAATGTACCGCACTCACCTCTAAAAGGAGGTTTGAGATGATATAAGAAAATAACGTCATTATTATGGTATGAATGGTCATTGGTCACGTACCTATTGTACGCCAAAATATTTTGCCATTGTGATTATTAAAAGACAGCGATAATGCAAGAAACAGAACTTGCGTATAATTTTGACCATAACCATAATGGTATAACTTTCTCTTTAAAAGAGATATTCACCATATTGATGTTGATGAATATGTGGTAGTACAAAATTAATTGAGAGCTCAAGAAGAGCCAATTATTACTATTTTGGAGAAACACAATTGATACCAATAAGGTATTGTGTTGTTGTAAGTCTCAAAGAAACTTATTTAGTTTTCAAAGTATACGCGAAAGCGGTTGATTATATTGAGACTATAAATCAAGGAAAGATTTAATATCTTCTATTACTACAACTTGTAGCTGGGTAATATGTATGTGAAAAGCTACCCGTTTTATTCTCCAGTTTGTACTACACAAATAAAAGAATACCACAATAAAGTGGATATTTATTGATATAAAAACCCATATCATAATAAACTTGGAGTTTATTGATAATTGCACACGTCATGGCGTAAATCTAAAGTTTATCAATATTGATAATTTATTCAGTTGGCATAATTGGTTTAGCCATATCAATTTAAGTATGATGTGCAAATATGATAGAGAATTCACATGGGTAAATGTTAAAGAACTAGAATGTTCTTTATGAATTCTCTTATGTTGCTTGTTCTCATTATTTAATGGACCAACTAAAATTGGGATTGAATCCCATAAATACTGGAAATATCAAAGGTGAATACGGGCCCATTCACCTGCCATGTATACCACATAAGATGCATCTATGAGATGGTTACATGTGCGATTATTATTAACCCGCAACATGGTGTTGCGAGGTAACTTGCTCAATAATTTGATTTAGAGCATAATTTCCAGCTTTTGTATTCAAGATAGTTCATCTTGATAAGTTGGTTTACATCATAGTTGGTTTAGCAAAATGAATTATTGAGTGCCTCCACTTAATAGCTAAACTATTGCTTATGAGAACAAAGTTATCTATATCAGTTTGATATATGTTATATACGGAAGTATATTACATTCTCCCCTCACAAGTGGTTTCAGGGTCAGGAACCAAATAATTTTATCTTATTATTATTGATGTGCGGTGTATATTTTGATTAACACCATAACGCACAAAGGGGGATTCTCAAAGTTGAGGTAACAAGTTAGTTTTTCTAACATGAGGGGGAGACATGATAAACAGTTGAGAAAAAGTTACGTGGAATGAATTATCATTTGTGCATCTAGATCCTCGAATAAGATAATATGAACTTGAAGTTCATAAAAGGATAATTCATTTGCAATATATTGCAAAGCATGCCAGAAGCATTTGCTGACCCTAAGAAAGTAACTATATTCTCATTGCAAATGCTCCTATTAAGTCCTAGAAGGACAAAGTCTATGGTAAGCTTAAAGCGTATAGAAAATCGATTTCAAATAAACTTCTTGATAAAGAAGATGAGCAAATGATCAAAATGATCATAATAAAGGAAGCAAGTGATCTAGAAGATCACATGACATAACACTTCATAAAATCTCCTAAGAGATTCAGGTATCTGAATATGTGAATGAATAGATCTCTATGTTATGTCTTTATGAAAAATAAGGAGGTTGGAACCGATATAAAATGTTTGTCGACAACATCTATGATAGCACTAAAAATATATGAGCATCTTAAGTCTGAAGAAACAATTCAAATAGAATTGGTTTCATATGAAAGACATGTAGTTTTGAACATGTAGTTCAAACACTTGAAAGTATAAGTCAATGGTATGTGCAATCAGTTTTCGATATCTTATATGTCTAGCATGACATGAAAACTTGATATGCAACTAAAGTCTATTATATGGCTTATATGACTTAACAATCCCTGAAGGATTTAAATTGCTTAAAGCATATAGAATTCATGGTCATGAAGTACTACATCCTTAGTGCAATTTGTGCACAAATGTATCTTGCTATAACTATATGCATGATAATATGATAGCAAGAGTTTTCACCTCTATGTGAAGATATTGAACTGACGATTCCAACAAGATCATATGAAGATAATTCATCTCTATCAAGAATGATGATTTCAAGGTGCAATATATTCATTCAAGTTAATATGGCTGATTTGTTTATCAAATATCTACCAAAGATCTTTTGAAGATGGTGCACAAGATTGGAATGCAAATGCTTAAGGATGTGAATTGATGCTCTCATCAGGGGGAGTTAATACGCGTTGTACTCTTTTTCCCTTACAAGGTTTTGTCCTCCTGGGTTTTCCTTGCAAGGTTTTTAACGAGGCAACCAAAAGGCGTATTATTAGATATGTGTACTCTTTTTCCTTTTCTAGAATTTTTTTCCCATTGGGTTTTCTTTTAGTTAAGGTTTTAACGAGACACATTATCTGTTGAATAGACATTCAGGGGGAGTGTTATAAATAGAATTTTATTTATGGTGAATGTCTATATTTAGAGAGATTCTAGGGTTTATTACTTGGTGGCTAAGTCACCCTCTCCCTATAAATAGAGGGTTCTATTCCATTGTAATTCATCCCAAATCAATAAGAATTCTCTCTCTCTACTTTTTTCTGCAATACTCTTCTTCTTCTTTTATTGTTTCATAACAAAAATAATTAAAATCGAAGCGAAAGAAACAACACGTATCTTGTTTTATCAGCTAACCTAAAAATAGCTATTGATGACCATCCATAATAAGTAAGATTAATTACTTAGAAAATAAAAAAGGTAACATGTTACAACAAGTTAAAATACATTTGATAGTATTTTTTTTTATACCGTTAATAAAAACGTTATTTTTGAATTTCGAATGACATTTTATTTCTCCAGTAGAAGGCCAGATGTAAACATTTTTCTGGAAAATACAATTCATTAATCATTAAACACCACCTCACCAAATTTATGAGGTTTTAACATATAGTAACAAATTCACAGCTAAGACTTTCCATATACACCCAAAATAACCCAACGGTAAACTCATATACTATCTCTATAAATATTGCTAGTAATTTTCCACACTAATAAACCCCCAAAAAATTCTCCTAATTGTTTACCATTTTTTCTCTTCTATTTTCTTCCTCATTTTGTGTAATTTGCATCTTTAGACTGCTGAATTTTTCACTCTTCTTTTTGAATTTCTGAAATCATGGAATTTCCTTTATATATTAGCTTTTTATTTCTGATTTTCTTGGGATTTTTCTGTTCATCTAAAGCTTATACATTCTATGCTGGTGGCAAAAGTGGTTGGATTTTAAAGCCTTCTGAATCATACAACCATTGGGCTGAACGAAATCGCTTTCAAGTCAATGACACTATTGGTATTTCTTAGTACTAAATTCTCTATGCTTTTAAAATTACGGTCAGAATTTAATATTTGTTAAAATTTTATTATTTTTCGCACACACATAATTATGTTACGTGTTAAAAAATATTAAAAATAAGGCTACATCCCCACTTAATTCATAGACTTTTTTTGTGTTTGCATTGCATTCTATTGATTGTTTGTGTATTTTAATTTTATTGTTTCAATATTTGAATTTCTTAGTTCTAAACTCACTACCACTTTGATTTTAAAATTATGGTTAGAATTTAATATTTATTGAAACTTTATTGTTTTTCAGACACATATATATATTTATATTACGTGTTAAAAAATATTGTGTTATGTTGAAGCACTAGCACTAAGGCTACATCCGCCACCGGATACATATACTTTTTCTGTGTTTGAGTTGCATTTTAACATATTGTCGTAGCAGGCAACTTGCCTTATTTTTTAGGTTATAGTCTCACTTTTCACACACTATTATTGTAGTTATCTTTTGAATAATCCTATAATGTTTTATATTGTCAGAGCGTAAAAGTTAAATTCATTTATTTATTATTTCATTCTTTTGATTTTTCTTTATTTGAGTTGATTTCTTGATATTTTTCATTGTAGTTTTCAAGTACAAGAAAGGCCATAATTCAGTTCTTATAGTTCACAAAGATGATTACATCAAATGCAAAAAGGACAAGCCAATTCATGCTTTAAAAAATAGCCATTCCAAATTCAAGTTTCCAAAATCAGGTCCATTTTATTTCATAAGTGGACATGCTGACAATTGCAAAAATGGCCAGAAACTAATTGTTGTTGTGTTATCTCCCAATCACAATAAGACATCTGTCGAAACGCCGCCGCCATCACCAGCACCAGCACCTACAAAATCAGCTGCAGCTAGTATTGGTTCAAGTGGTTTGGTTTGGTTCTTTAGTTTGATAATTGCAGCAATTTTTAGTAGCTTGGTTTAATTGTTTAACTAGTTTAGTTTATTTTTATGTCGTTTAATTTGTTTCTTTTGGATGGTTTATAGAAAAGATAGTTACTCATGTGTATTTTCCTTTTTCATTTGATTTATTATATTATGTTTTGATTGATAAAAATTGTGCGTCAAACTAAATAGGAGTTATTTAACTTTAAACGTTACGATTTAGTAGATGCAAGTCTTTTCAACTTTGAGTGGATATGTAATTCAAGTAAAGAAATTTTTTGACATGCAAATCAAATATATGCGAAATATAAAAATTATATTTTTAAATGAGCAGCATGTGAGAATTTCATATGTTTTTTTTATTTTCTCTCTCCTTATAAAAAATAAAATTTTACACAAGGCTAAAATGTGAATATTAACTTAAATCACTATGACAAGAGTGGATTGCTCAAGTGGTGAGCACACTACACTTTCAACCAATAGGTTGTGAGTTCGAGCAACTCTGAGAGCAAGGTGGGAAGCTCTCTTGGAGGGAGGGAATAAAATAAAATAATAAAAAAACTTAAATCATTCTCAAAACACTACAAAAAAAGCCCCAATTACCAACAAAAAAAAAAATTGTTGGTAAATTGATCAAATTGGTTGACAATTTGAGTTACTAACAGATTACCAACGGATATTGATCCATTGCTAAAAGGCTCTCGATGATAAATTTTACCAAACAGTTTGAATTTGTTGGTAAAATTACCAACTAAAAAACAGTTAGTAAACACCAAATAAATTTGTTGGTAATTTTTGAATCTTGAGTCCAAGATTTTCGTTTGTAAATCTACTAATCAAAATTCGGTTGGAAGTCCGTTAGTAACTTTACAAGAGATAGAAAATGAATTAATAAAATTGGTTTTTCATTATTTAAATTGTGTTTGTAACTGGTTGGTAAATATAATAACAAGAAAAATTTCGTTTGTATTCCGTTAGCAACTATACTAATGGATACCAACTTGGTTGGTAAATCCGATGGTATATTTTTAAAAGTACATTGGCAATCGGTTGGTAATTTTATCTATGGAAAAGTTCTGTTTAAGAAATTGTTGGTAATTTACAAGCAAATTTCAAATTTGCTAGCAAATATGGTTATTTATTTTTAAAATTTACGTTAGTAATTTGTTAGCAATTCATCATAAAATTTACTAACAAATTGTAAATGTGTTACCAACTATTACAAATTAAATGGGTATATTAAAATTTTTATTTTTAAAAATTGTATTAATATTAATTTAAAGCTTTAAAAGATCTAACAAAAATACTTAAACAAAACAAAAAACATACTAAAACTTTATAAATAATAATAACATCTATCATGAAGCTGAACGCAGAATCCAAGAATCCAAGACGTGTCTAACATAAAAGAAGCTAAAATAAATCTAAATCGTGTCATTTGATGACGAGTCATGTCTACGAGAAGGCGGTGTAGGTAAGCCACCTATGAGGACCGACAGACGATCTTGGAGTAGTTGATCAACTTGCTCACGCACCTCTTGTTGCATTTCGTGTCTTATTTCTTCACGCAATTCTTCTCTCATTTCTTGTCTAATCTCTTCTCTGATCTCTGATCTCTGATCTCTGATCTCATCTCATGCTTCATCTCTTCCTTAATTTCTTGCAAATGATGCCCGACACATTCATTCACCCGAGCATTAAAGTCTATATCTTGAAGTGGAGATATCGAACTGGAGGATGCACCAACATGCCCATAGAAAGGAGCTTGAGAACCAAGACCATAAATGCGCGTCTTCTTAACACCGACTTCCTCCAAATAAATTTGTGAGAAATCAACTTCAGGAAGTTCACTGAACCCATCTTCAGGCTGAGACGCAAACGCAATTTTAGACATTATGGCATCCTGACCAAAAAAATGATATAAACTTTATAATAATGACTTTTGAAAGAGAAAACATCAAAAACAGAGTCATAAAGGCAACAAAACTGAAAACTCAAATGTCAATAGCAACACCTTAAAGACAATTGTTCTGATGTACGCAACAGTTTTTTCCTACAAATTGCATTACTTGTCCGTCATCAATTTGTTATACTTTCAGATAAAGAAGTAATAATTTTCAGCAGTGACATGTTATATAGCTTATATGTGCAGATTTATAAAATCATCTGGGAGTTTCCTAGAGAAGGATGGCTAGAATTGAATACTGATGGTGCTACGAGAGGGACCCAGGCAAGAGTTCAATTGGTTATTGTATACGAGATGCATTAGAGGATATTATTTATGTACATGGGCAGGAGATTCATGAAACTACAAACACAGAAGCAGAGGCAATAGCTATCCTTCATGCACTCAGGTATTGTAAAGCTCAGTTGCTATCTCCTATTTGGGTGCAAACAGATTCTACGCTATTGAAGAATGTCATTGAAGGAAGCTGGAGTACACCATGGGGAATTGTAGAGCATGTGGAGGAAATAAGGAAGCTATTACAAGAGTGTAACGCTATCATAATGCATATGTATCGCGGAGACAACAAACTGGCTGAAACTTAGCTAATTATGCTCTTGATGTAGGTCCTATGGAGTGTGATTCTTTTGCAAAACTGGATAGTACAGGAAAAGGATTGTGAATAACGATAAACTTCAATGCCCATACTTAAGGATAAGAGTTGCAAGAGATTGAAAGGGGAGGAGAAGGTGAACACAATGGAGGGAGAGATAACCATACATACCTGCCTTGTTCAAATCCTTAGGGAGGAGAACGTGGTGGGTCTTGTTTATATTAACATTGTGTTCTTTTTTGCAGGGAAAGCTACTGTATCCATGCCTTACCATTTGATACAATTTCATTGGGTGGTATTAACACTTGATACTCACTCCCATGAACGAGTATCAGATAGTAGGCATAAGCATGAAACCATGGAGTAAATAAAAAATACTTAGGACTATCTGTGCTCTCAATCTCAGAGGGCATATGCTCAGAATACACAATCATGTCCAAACCACGATGTTTCTGCCATTTTTCCATAAAGAAAAGAGGGACTCACATTTACTGCATCTCAGAGGAAAGCCACTGCCCAGTTCTTTGGCCACGCTCCTGACTGACTTTGGGAGCTACATTTAGAGGGCTCTCAGAAGGGCATATGCACTGTATTATATATGTATAGTTTCCCAGGATGTGATTCATGGGAATAATACATTGATATTATACTGAACATCGCTACATTCTAGGAAGGTACACTATATTATCATAAAGAAAACTCATTGTGCTATAGCTCTGGACAACCCGAAGTTTAAAATTTGGGAGATAATTCACAAGTTATTTACCAAATATGGGGAGTTAACAGAAGACATAAAAGGATGCAATGGAATCTCAAGACGAGTTTCAACAAATCAACAAGGAATCACACAAAAGCACGAATATCGTGTGAACCGAAGGATGTATTGTTTTCATTTGGATTAGTGCTCAAAGTTTGTGCTACGCTTTCAAGCCAAATAATGAAGATGTCAATAAATTATTCAAAGAGCTACAAGGATCTGCCCAGCTCTTGGAAGAAGGTGAATCAAATTTGGAGACAGTGGGCGCTCATGCGATTTATATCCATATGGCTTGTTTATATTATATTTTGTTTATACTGTTATAGGTTACAGGTTTCCACATTTCTTAGTTCAAATTGTAAGACCAGTTTTGGATATCACTCACTCAAAATTAGTAATAGGAGATATGTAATCGCCAAGATAGGTGCTTTACTTTTACGTGCCAAAAAATGACAACCAAGCTATAGTAATTTACATATGTGCTCTTAGATTTCTGGTCCACAAACTCCTTGTTCTCCTTGACATGTGTCTTCTTCAGAATCTCATGTGGATGAGTTGGTCTTCCTAGTTCTTTAGCCTAAAATTGAAAATCACGTTCACTAAATTAATACATAATCACTAGCTTTGGAGATATTCTAACTTGGCTAAAGAAAAATGAATATACCAGTAGTCTTGCATGTTCTCGGTGAGTTCTAGAGCCTCCTGTATAGCATGAGGGACCAAACCCTTCACCACCTTTTTCACTTAGTCGATTCCTTGAGCATTGTGCAGACTTGGCTTTAAAAGCCTCAGTCTCCCAGTGAGGCTTCCAACTCTCCCAAATAGATACTGGAATATGTTTGCGCTTCTTTTCACAAACTCTTGCTTCAGATAACATACCCTTGTATCGTTCTGCACATTTGCTCATAAACTTATCCTTTATGGCACCTTCAATTGCAGTGTCCCATTGAAATCGTTTCTGTTTGAGAAGATCAAATGAAAAATAACACAAGATATTGATAACAACAACTTACCCAGTGTAGTAGATCCTCGACTCAAGAAAGATAAAGGGAACTCCAAATATTATCGATCTTATTTGGAAAAAAAAAAGAATAGCTCCAAATATTGCAGCAGCTGTGTCCGAGAAGAACTAGGGGAAATTTATAATGACCTCAACACTAAAGATGGAATAAGCATAAACTTTTGGTCCCATATGTTGATAATAATTGTGTCTGGCAAAGGTTTTTGCTATCTTGGGGGATCACAGTTCTTTCTTAGTATTTGGTTGGTGATCTCTGTTTTTAACTTGATTTCTAGATCAGTAATTTTTTTTTCTTTAGCTAGGCTAGAAGATCCTTCTCATATATGACATAGCAGTCCTAGAATTGCTTTGTCAAGGTACTTGATAAATGACGATGCTTGGACCAGAACCTATACAATTCAACATATGTATATTCCGGAAGTTGAAGGAAATATGAGATCTTAAAATAATTCATGCAGCAGTTACTTCATGACATTTGTACATTTGGCAAAAAGGGAAACTAACTAGTATAATATTAAGGTATTAAGTTTTCTATTTTACATCCTTTTATCTTGCATTACTGATGTGTAGGTATTTATAATAGCATAAAAGCACTAAAACCAAGAAGTCTTGGACGTTATAAAAACTGTTATATATAAGGATTATGATTGTTTTTCACTAATTATGCAACAAAAATAAAATATTGCAATGAGAGGAATTCAAGTATCATAAAAATCTGATAAATGTATCACA